CAAATGTGAAACATCATATTGTCTATCTATTAAATCATAAAAAAAAATTCTAAGGAGTAAAATAAAAAGATAGAAACACTTGACTTGTGCTAATTTAATTGAAAAATCCATCTTTTTTTTTTTTTATTCTTTTCTTGAATGGACTTTACTAGGTCTCAACTAATCTAGGGTTTGATTAAAGAATATAAATAAAAAATAAATAATAAATAATTAATGAAAAAAAACTGAAAAAAAACACTAGTTTAAAAAGAGTTTAAGACTTTAAATTATAGAGGCAAAATATATTTATTTAGTCAAAATCCTCATTTCTTATTTTTTTTTCTATTTTAAATTTTTTCAATAAAAAATTAAGAGTAAATAAAATAAATATTCACAAGAATTTTAATAATTTAAATTCATGAATAGAAAAATGTATTTCTTTAGCCAAAATTCCTTCTTATTCATTTATTTATTTTTATTTTGGAAACATGTTTTTTACATTAATTTTTTTCTAAATAAAAATATACTGTGATCTGAAAAGAAAGTTAAAAAAAATATAAAAATTCATTTGTTTATAGTTTCCATGCATTTGTATGAAAAAATAAAAGAAATAATTCATAAAAATCATATATATATATATATATATATAATTCACAATAACAAAATATATATTTTATTCTCATTGAATATTCATCTGAAATATTTTTAAAGAAAATTTTGCACATTAGATTTATTTATAATTATTCATTAAATAATTTGAAATATTACTATAAAAACTCTCATATTATTTAAACAAATTATCATAATTGGATGATTTTTTTTAAATATCATTGTAATTATATATATTTTAAAACACTTTTATTTTAAAATATATCATAGAAGGGCCAAATAAATGAAGGTCATGCGTGCCTAGGCTTTAAAAACAGACAACATAAGTGCACCTAGATTTGCAAGGCCGGACTCTCATAGCTTGTTTAAAAAGAAAAAATGTGGGCACTCAAAACTATTTTTAAAATAAAATGAGTAGATGGTCAAATTCTTTTTTTTTTATATATAAATATAATGGATAATATGTCATTTTCTTGAAAAAAGAAGTCATGTACTAAAAATTCAGGATATGAGATTTTAGACTCCTAAAACCGAATCTCAACTTTTTTCTATCTAACAACATCCTAAATACATTGTAGGAAATTCAATAACACTATTTCTAACCCCTAAAATATTCTTTAATTAATTAAAAAATAAAAAAATCAAACCAAAAAAATAATAATCATGAACCTTGATTGAACATGGTTAAAGAGAAAAACCATTCTTTTGTAAATTACATAAAGCATCCTAAACTTTATATCTTTATTAAACTTTAAATGGTGTAAAAAAGAAGTAAACAAAAAAGTTTTAATTATTTATAGGTGTGCCATTATTTTTTATTTAATGACTAAACAACCCCTAATGCATAAAAATAATGAAAATGACATTAGTATCACTATAACCAAAACATACAAAGATTTAAAATTAAAACACCATTATATAATACATTTAAAAATCAAGACAAAATCAAAACAAAATCAAAACCATATTTCTCATATTAAAGCTACCTAGGAGATGAAATTGAGTCAAAATTAAGTTAAATCATGTCTCTGATTGAATTGCTCAGTATAGCCACAACTAAATTCCTTTTACCAGGTCAAAATCTAAATCAATAATAACAAATTCAATAATATGACTTCCAATACAAAGATCATTAATTTGCCGAACAACGTGAACGTGATAGTTTATAGAAGCACTTTGATTAGAAAAGAGCAACCTTGAATCACTTAAGAACCTAGAAGACAATTTCACTCAAATACCAAAAAAAAACACAAAAATTAAAAAAAAAAGAAGATTAACATTACCAAACAAACCAAAACCTAGAATTCAGATTTTATGAGAAAAACTTTTGAGTACCTTTCTTTAATGCCAATTCCAATTAGAGCAACTTTCGCTTCCTAGATTTGCTGCTTAACAAAAACATAAGCCTTGACAAATCTTAAAGTTTTTTTTTTTTTTGTGAAAAAGATCGAGTTTTAAAAGAATATTCAGTAAAAGACACATCTACTAGTGCAAAAAGTAGTCAAACTTGATCGACAAGACATTAGAGCTTAGCTTATATATAACGAAGATATAGGTATGAAATAACTCTATTATTGATTTCTTGATTTAAGAAAACAAGTGAGATGACATACCTTTATGATAATAATATATAAGAGAAATTTTACAATTTAATGACATGAACATACAACTGAATATAAAAAGAATTAACTACAAAACACCTAAACTTTGATTTTGTAGAACTTTAGGTTCAATTAAACTAGGATTTATACAAATTCTAAAGAACTTTTGTTTAGAAACAATAAGCGCGAGGTTGGGGGGTAGGTTTGTATTTGTCGTTTGCTGGGTTTATGTGTATAATATATACGGGGTTAGTTTGGTAATTTTACATGATTTGAATATTTTTTGATTGAGGATGTTTTCTATAATTTATAAAAAAATAAAAACAAATTGTAATTTCGAGTAAACTATAGGATGCTTAAGGTAATTTTTTCTAAAAATAAATATAGAGAAAATTACCCTCATTATCTTATAGTTTGGTTAAAATTGCTATTGTCTACTGTGTTTTTAAAAAATTATAGTTTGCATTGTAAGTCAACAAAAATCTTTAAATTTAACAAAATGATCGAAGTATCCTTATACATATTAAATTGAAAAATCAGCCAAACAATATATTTGGCTGTCTCTCTTCAAGTGATGATTTTTATCTTTTTAATATACTATTTTCTTTATCTTTCTAAACACAAATAACCAAATCATGCATGAAATCTTTTGAGGATGTAAAATTATTTAGTCAATATTTAATACTTGCAAACTAAAAAACTAAATTTTGTATTAAAAAACAAATTTTATATAAAAGAAACCTTTTTTAGGCTTTTATTTTGTTAAATTGATTGTGAATATTTTTTTGATATTATTGTATAAAATCTTAAGATTAGGATGTGAGTGACCTAAAAACATACCTAGATGGACTTCTTTTTTCTTGATGTTGGTGGCGGTGATGAGGGGGAGTTGCTGAAGACACTAGTTACTGGAGGAGTAAAAAGGTATAATTTGGATAAAAAAAGGAATGGGTGTTTTTTAACCAGACTTGAGATCTCGATTAAAAAGGCCAAAATGAAGTCTAGTCTTTCAGGGGATTAAAAGGGATATATGAATGTACAATCTTGACATTGAAAAGGAAGAGCTAATTCTACTTTGAATGGGAAAAGGTTTTCTTAGGCCATTAAATCAGAGGACGGAAGACATAAGCAATAAGTATTTCATTGAGTTCTTGCAAATTCCCTTTTCTAAGATGGTTAAAGGAATCAATATGAGATCTTAACAAGCTGTAAGATCCATAACCTTGCATTAATGGTCTCAAAATAAAAAAGCACTTACTCTAGAGGTTGATTCAGTTATATATGACGTATCTCACATTTTTCATCTCAATCTCTTTACTTGTGAGAATGTTGAGTTAGTATTTTTAATTGTTAATGCTATAAGATTGAATATTGTTTTCTCAAATGTATTAAATGAGTCTTAAAAATTCAAAAGCTTAAGAACTTTTAAAACAGAGTCTAGTCTAATTAAAGTGACCATTAGTCTACATCGACAACTTGTTCTTTAATTATAATTAGCATTCACTTTAGATAGCATAAATTTGAATCCCTTTTAAATCAAGAAATTTTAAGATATTCAAGTTATAATTATTCATATTTATAGTATAAGATAGAAACAAAAGAATGACAGAGATATTTTTATGAATGAGCATCATAAGAAATTGTTCTTATAAATCCCTAACTAGCTATAGCAAATCATGCATGTCATTAGATAAAATCTAGTCATTCTCCTATTACAAAATGTAAGGGGAAATGATCATATGCAACTTGCTATTTGGATGCTTCTAAAAAGTGAACATTCTTTTAAGAATTTCAGAGTAGGTAAATATAAGAAATAGTTTTCTTGCCTTAGCTTATCCCTAAATTATTGTTGAAAAGAACTTGTTATCTAGTCTCATATTGACGAGACTTCTCATGGATGCCTTAGTGATAAGCTAAAGACCTAATGATCATGTAGATAAAATTAAAGAAGAAAACCATATAAATACATATAAGCCTAACTAATCATTTTGGAAGGGGAACTGATACTATAATGATTTGAGTCAATTTATTGTAGTAATGACTTATTGCCTTTCACTTATTTGGTGATGTTTACAGGATGTAATCCTAAAAGGATCTCTATATGGAAACCACTTATTTTGATATTCAAGAAAAAAGTTTCAATATAGAGAGGAAAGCTGCTTAGCATTGTTGAAGGAATATGTTTAATCAAGAGTGCCTTAAATTCCATTCAGTTATATTATATATATTTTCTAATGCTAAAAAGGTGTCACAGGGACACTTACCAACATTTAAAGAAGATTTTTATGGGTAGGTGTCTCTAAATAAGGGAAAATATGCAAGGTTAAATAGAGTATATAGTGAGAGAAAAGGATAAAGATAGTTTGGGTATTTGTTCTTTGTAGCACGTCACCTGCGCGACGTCGACTGATGATTTTTCGTTCGTTGATTGATTTGTTAGGATTCGTCACCTAGTATTTAGTCGAGGGCTACTAGAAAACCCGAGTGTACTAGTCTTTATTAGAGATTCACAGGTAAAGAATTGGTTGTGGTTAGGGAAGGTATTAGCACCCCTAACACACCATACTTGAGATAAGCTGTTTCATGATTTGATGTGTTAAAGAAGTTTTAAAAATTTTATATTAGAAAAATGATTTATGTGTAAGTTCATAATTCTTGACCGTGATCAAATCAAAATATTAAATTCTTCTTTATTCTTTGTAATTTTATCATAAATAGAAAAAAACATCCATAAAACAAATACAAACAAACACATACACTTTTATTATATATTTTTTCATTTTTTTTTCTTACACACTACAAATTATACAAAATTCAAAAACTAAACAAAAAATACATTAAACACTTTAAAAATTACAAAACAGCCTCTAAAACTCCAGGAATTGTAGGGAAGGGTTCTGTGAAGCCCAGGGACAATATGAACAGTGGCGACGTATCTTCTCCACGTGCCACCGCCACTGGTAGCGCGTGAGTTCATGCGCCGTCGCGAGAAACGTTGGAAAATAGGTGGGTCTGACTCAACTTCTTCTCTTATTCCCTTCCCTATTGGTGGTGACACCCAATCACCTGTAGCAACCAAAAATCGCAACAAAATAGTCGATTTTAGTTTTTTCTTTTACTATTTTCAGATCCACTTCCCTCCTTTTTTCTCTTTTAGATCTGTTTTTTTCCTTCTTTCTTTCTTCCTGTTTTGCTGCTCTTTCCTTCTTCAGATGGCAGAGGTGGGTTGCGGTGGATGTGGACGGATCAGCCGGTGCCTGAAGGCTTCGGAGTGGAGGAGAAAGGGGTGTTTCCTAGGCACGGGTGCTGCCACGTGTGGGCTGCTGTTGGATGCTCTTCACTCCTATTAGTGGCAACAATGGTTGGCCTTACTGCTATTGTCTGGCTGCAGCTGGAGGCTGGTTGATGGAGACGGGGTGATCGATTCTGTGGTGTGCTGGAGGAATAGGGGAAGGAGATGTTGCTACACAGGGAAAGGATGGAGGTTGGTCTATGTTGAGGGGGGAAATGGGGGGTTTGGTTTACAAAGAAGTTGAGAAAGGAGAGGACGGTGAAGAGGTTGGGTTGGTTTGCTTTGGCTGCAACCAAGAGAGAGATGAGGGGAAGATGAAGGTGCAGCGGGGAAGGAAGAGAGAAGGGAAATGAAAGGCTAAGAGATACTATGGTTGTTTTGTGGCTGGGGGACTGGTTGGCTTTGTTTATCTGGCTTTGGCTGGGGAAGGGAGAGTGGCCGCTTCCTAGCTCTCTTTGGTGCTCTTTCAGCCAAGAGAGGGGGTGGTCAGTTTATGTTGGTATGTTGGTAGAGATAGGTTTAGGTTTAGGGTTCCTTGTCTTTCCCCCTTGTTTTTTTTTTTTCAAAATTGCCCTCCCCCTTTTGTGTGAGCCGTGGACCTGTATTTATGGGTAAAATGTTATTTGGTCCTCAAAATTGGTCCCTCAACTTTTTTTTTTTTGTAAATTTGATTTTTCTTAATTTTTTTATATTTTTAAAAAACGAGCAATATCAACATCGACTCAATGAGAAAAAATAATGATTTTAAAAATGACACGTGAAAAGTTGAATGCGCTCAAAAGACCTTTGAAAATTTTAGATGAAAGGAATTATTACTGTGAATGGATTGCCATTCTTTGATAATAACCTCTTAGAAATATAGAGAGGAATACTGTCAGTAATTAAGCAGGGGGAAATAATATCAGATGCAATTACAAATTGTGTTAGGTTCAAGGTGGAAGATGGTAAGACTACATCCTTTTATGAGAAATTTTAGATGGAAGATAGGCTTTTAAAATTACAATTCCTGTGTTTGTTTAAGTTAACTAGTAAAGAAAGAGGAAAGGTAAGCGATATGGGCTTGTGGTTAATTAGGATATGGACATGAAAGCTTCATTAACGCCAAGAATTATTCATTTTTTTAGTAGGAACATTCAAAACATTTACATGTTATTATAGAAGGATTGCACCTTCCACATAATAAACTGAATCAAAAGATTTAAAGCTTAGACAAGGATGACAATTACTCGGTCAAATTATATAGTTCTTTTGTTGACATGATTGTTTTTTAAGGTTCTAGACATTTCAAATCTAATATATGGTTTAGAATGGTTCCATCCAAAATATAGACATTTATATGGTTGGTGGTCCAAAATCAATTTTCTACAAGTGACCTTCTTCTCAGACGCTGATTATTAGTAGTATAGCAACTAAATGTCCATTTTGTGTAGTAAAGCAGAAGACTTTGGATAATTTGTTATTCTAGTACTTGACCATTATAGGAAAAAACTCTTAAAATTATAGGGAGTATCCCAGTGCATCCTTTAGACTCTAGATTTATTGATTTGCTAATGGCCTTCATTAATTAGTGAAAGGTACATTTTAGACTCGGGTTTAGAATCTCTAAGAAGGTGTAGATGGACTAGGATTTTAGTTTCTCTTCGATCTTATATAAACTTTAGTTTGACTAAAATATAATGAATCTAATTTCAACTACTTTGGTAATGATCTCATTCATAGTGAAGATGATATTCAGATGTGGAAAAATACATATAAATAATTTGGTTGCTCTTCCCTATTATGTTTCTTTATGTTTTCTCTTATCTCATTTGTAATGCAATTATTTTAGTTTCTTGTAAATGATTATTCAACTTTTCAGGGGTTATGTTCTAAATGACTATCTTTTGATTAATACATGATTATTATTGAGAAAACAAATACTATAATGATCTTAAGGTATATTAGATTCTTTTATATGAATAATGGAAACATTAAATTTAAACAAGTAATATTTACTATTTTTTCCATCCATTAATTATTTAAATAGATGTCAAATTACATAAATAAATAAATATCATTGTCAAATTATAGGAGCACTTTCTTTTTATGTGATTTATTAGTACTTAAAAGTGTATTTTTATCAAGGTTTTATATTATCATTTTGCACTTGAAATATCAATAACTCCTTAACTAAAACATGTTTTATAATAATAAGTCTAATAATATAAGATAAATTTAATTTATGGTAAATGCTCATTTTAAATGCAGGCATATCTCACAATTCAAATGATTGATTGATGTGAATAACTATTGAAAGTGAAAGGACAAAGAAAAGGGTTAAGTTTATAAAAGAGATGCTGGTTCAATCCTAGCTAGAACATCATTTGGTTATTGAATCATAACTAGACCTGTAGAACTTGGATTGAAAGCTAAGATATAGTTCTAAAACTTTCATGAAAAGTTCAAGATTCAAAAAGGTCGTTTTCAAGTTCAAATATAGCAACAACAGATAAGTCCAAATCTGTCCTGCATCATAGACATTGTATAGTGTTCATCCCATATCTCGATTTCTAGAAATCCAAATGCACCGATTTGTTTTTTGTTGGAAAGATGAGATAAGTTTTCAGAACTTTCATGAAGACTATTTGTTCAAATTTTGATGTTAGCAATGATATTTTTGGTAGACAATAATATAAGGATTGTCACAAAGTCAAGAGGTGGCCGCCCACTCAACAATTAATCATCAAATCAATAGTTTTAAATTTTAGTTTATAAAAGGAGGCATTTACCATACATTTAGGTATCTTGGTTTTTAGATCAAGATCACACTCTTTATTTCTTTTTTTATATTTTTGTAATGTTTAAGTTTTATTTCATGTTATATTTTTCTTAATCTTTTGTTTAAGTTTTTTATTTTTTTTATTATACTTATATTTGTCTTTTTTATTATGTTTAGCTAAGTTTTTTATGTAAATGTGAAAAAGTTTCACTAATAGTGTTAAGATAAGTATAATATAAACTCAATATGAACTTCAATGTTTATATCTTAAACAACTTGTTATTAACATGTTTTATCATTTTTGTCTTATTAATTCTTAATATCTTGCTTGTTAAATGATTAATCTAGATTGTGTTGTATAACACTTGGTACGAAAAATGCTTGGCACTTTCATAGCCAACCATATGGTATAACCTACACCTGTGTTATGAAAGGAATTTGATTTGTTGTTAATATAAGTTAGCATCATGAACTCCTGAAAATATTTTAAAGTTTAGTGTTATTTAAATAAAATAATTAATATGATCATATTAATCATTTATAACGAGCTATTAATGAGAAATCATTCGATTGAAACCTCTTTTATATGTAATTTCTAGTTGAGTAATAAAAAGAGTTTATATTATGTTTATTTTTAATACTATTAGTGGATCCTCTAACCTTGATATTTATTTTTATTATTGTTTAATCCTCACATTAATCTTACATCTTAAAGTCCTTTTTAACTTATTATTATTATTATAATTTATAATTTATATAGTTTATCTCTCTATACTTTGATCCCAGTCTTATCAGGTTATTTATTATTTCAACACTTCTATACTTGAAAAAAAAACATTAATTTTTTAGTCATGTCAATAATATTAATCTTTCTAAGCAAGGGAACTAATACAAACAAGATGTTGATAATAAGAAAAGGATATATTTTTTTCACACGGACAAGGGCTTACGATTTAATGTAAGAAAACTCCCACCTTTCTTGGTTTGATTATAAATTGGTCCCCCCCCCCC